ACCTAGAGCCGCCATGCAGGCACCCATGTTGACGTCCTCGTAAGATGTGAGTCCTGGCAGATGGCACTCCTGCAGGAGGGTTTTCTGTAGTAGTCTGACGGCGGGGCTGCTGAGGACGTAGCCAGCACCACCGGACATGTATTCCACTCGCAGGGAGCGTGATTCATCCTGCGGTGCGAAATCCAGAGTAAAGAATATATGAAAATGAAAACAGCCACATTGAGAATTGTAAATAATCATAACGTTTCAAACTCTTCACGAGTTCCTCTTCAGACAAAACCGAAATGGATTTTGTCTTTTTTGCGTATACATTACTGTGCTTGTGTTCATTAAAGAATATATGTTTCATGCCTAAACCATTGCCTGTAAATCACTGTTGTATCCTGTATCCATATTGCTGTTTTCAAACATGAAAAAGAAATTGAATCAGTGAAATAGACCTGCATCCATATACTCTCCAGTCGTTTAGATAAACACATTCCCTAACAACAAAATTATAACACTGATGCAGTCGAAACTGGCATGTGGTCTATTGGTAAGACGAGGGAACGACTAAACCTACTGGCTATGCTACTTATAAACACACTAGTGATATCATCCATATATGATTTTCAAAAAGTCTATGTTAGGAAAACTAACTTTTAATCAGAGTAATGGTACCTACAGAGGCAAGTAGGTAACTTCATAAGAAAACAGTATGTGCGTGTGTGCGCATACACAAATATATATGAGGGTAAGTCAAAACGTATTATTTAAGACCGTCAAACTCGAGGAAGAAGACCAATGATCATCAACAAGGCAACACCTACGGAAAATGATCACACATACTTTAACATTTGCAATCACAAGCGACTATCTTGGCCTCAAGAAGTTTTATGCTAGACGGGTGCCTACGGCGTTGCGCAGAGATCAGCTGTTTCGGGGAGCTGAACTTTTCTTGTCTTTGTAAAGATTGAAGGTAGTGAAAAAAAATGAACGAATTGCAACCAAGGACGAGTCGTGCAGTCACAAATACGATCAAAACATTGGCTCTTGAGGGGATTTGTTGGCCAGTCAGATTGAAGGCCCAGAGGTCAACTCAAAAGATGGAGGCTACTGTTTTGGGGGGATTCTAATTAATAAACTTAAAAGATTTTCTCGGAGTACGAAGGAGGGCCATGGGTGCTAATCGTAATGTGTTAAGAAAACTGAAAACTGCATTGGCGAGGAAAAGGCCATGAGTGTTGCACCACTGTAATTTGTTCCACCATGATAATGCGTCAGTTCATTTACAAGCTTTGCAATTGCTGTATTTCGAGAATGTTGTTGGCAATATTTACCTGTCCATCCTTACAAGCCCGATCTTGCCTACTCAAACGTTATCTTATTCCCATAAAGAAAACTTGAACGACACAAGATCTGAATCCTCGATGGTGACAAAGCAGTCGTCTTGACATGGTGTGACTTGGAGACCACAAAATCCCACAGAGATGGATTAGAAAGACGGAAGAAGTGTCTTCAGAAGTGGATGGACTTATATGAAGGATATGTTGAGAATAAAAGTTTTATATCTTGATTTTTTATTCAATATATATTTCTTTGATGTAGTAGCGATACTTTTTGACTAACGCTTGAAAATCTATTTATCTATCTATCTATCCACCCCCTCCCACACACACACACACATACACACTTCACACACACACACACACACTCACACACACAGGGAAAGCGGTCACTAGCGAAAATTATAAACATAATTAACAAGAAAAGCCCCTACTGTAAAACACCAACGGAAGCCCGAGGAAAAGCGGCCTGGAGGAGTCGAACTCGCCGAGGAGGTCGAGGAGGTGAGGGTAGAGGAGGAAGGTGTCGTCGTCGGTCTTGAGGAACCAGTGCGCCGAGGCCGGGTCCACCGCCCTCAGCCCGTGCAGCACTTTGCCCCACAGGTCCTCGTACCTGGATTGAGGGCGAGCGTGATGAGAAACGAAGCAGGAAGAGAGAAATGAAAAACGCGTATATTCCTGTCCTCTTTTATCAAAATCTATCTCTTCTTTCTCTCTTTTGACGTCTTTTTACTTCAATTTCCACCTTACTCTGCTTCTACTGACCCCGAGTAGTTGGAGAGTATAACGTTGGGGAGGTCAGGGTGGGCGGCGGAGGAGAGGAAAAGGGTGTTCGGGCAAGGAGTGGGCGGTCGGGGGTCCTTCCAAGCTGCCCCCTGGTGTCGGGCGCGGTCCTCGTGGTGCCCCGGGGAAGTTACCACCAGGCAGGTCACACGGGGAGGACCATCTCCCAGGGGCGCTTTCCGGGAGCTGCGGGGAAACTCCTTCCATGGCAGTGCTTCTGGATCGTCCTGCTGGGTGGGCCTGAGAGGAAGAAAAATGATTGCCTAAAATGGGTCGCTGATGATCTGTGCTAAAAAAAATGATCAGTGTTGAAATTATGATGTGAAAATTATGATTTGTACCGCTCATTTATAGGCTTTGGCATAGTATCGACTATTTAGATGCAAGAAATC